CCTCGCGCTCCCGGGTTCAAATGAGTCTCCTGTCTCAGCCCTCCCGAGGTAGCTGGGATTACAGACACCGCCACCATGCCGGCTAATTTTGTATTTTTAGTAGAGATGGGGTTTCACCATGTTGGCCAGGCTGGTCTCAACCTTCTGCCTCAGGTGATCGGCCCACATTGACTCGCCAAATTGCTGGGATTACAGGCGAGAGTCACCATGCCCGGCCAACTATTGTAATATTGATATAATAATATATCACAGCCCAGGTGCAGTGGTTCAGCCGCCTGTAATCCAGACATTTGGGACGGCTGAGGCAGCGCGATCACCTGAGGTCAGTTTTAGACCAGCCTGGGCCAACATGGTGAAACCCTGTCTCTCACTGAAAATACAAAAATTAGCCGGGGCGTGGTGGTGGGTACTGTATCTCGGAATAACCTATGAGTAAGCACCACCTCTGTCCCTAAGGAAGCTGAGATTCAGGACATGGAAGTCATCTCCCAGGGCCCACAGCAAGGGCCTGGTGAGGTCTGCATTCGAATTCTGATCATCTGACTCCTGGCTTTCCTGCCTCCTTTGCATCCCCAAACTCAAAAACTTTCATCTGGAATGACTCCAGACAGCTGGATTTCAATTGTGTTCTCTCCTTCTGAGTATGTTTTATTTTAAAATCACATAAAGATAACTCAGTTCTCAACTGGAGCCACGGAATCGTTAGATGTCTTGGAGACTTTTCCAGCTACCTCTTTGCTGGACTGAATAATTAGGTCCAAGGAGCTGAACTGGAGCTGCTTGTGGCCAGAGGTCTCTTCCTGGGAACAGTGGTGGTGACGGCGGCTGCACTGAGCCTGGCAATTTGTTCAAGAGCAGGGGACGCTCAGGCTGCGCTCGTCCCCTTCTTATGAACGAAGTTTGCTTTGCGTCTTCTCTGTGCCAAGGGCTGCCAGGCACAAGATGCCTGTTTTGGGAAATCAGAAAAATAAACAGTGTAAATAAAACAAAAACTCCACCCAAGAAATCTGAGACAGATGCTGTTTTTCCCACCGTTTCTCCACCCCCATGCTGGGTTTGGAGAGAGTGGGCCAGCCTGTTTCCTAGGGATAAGATGCCCTGGGGAGTTTCACCTGGATGGAACCTCTTCTATTTTACTTTTGCCCGGTGCCAGGGGGCAGAGGGCAGGGGTGGTGTCCATCTGGCCCAGGGAAAAGGACAGGGCAGCCTTTGTCGCCGGCATCCCCTGCAGAGATGTCTCAGCCAGAAGTGACTTGATATAGGAACGTGTGTCCCGTTCTCTGCTGGGTGGCCGCTCCTTACGCCCCGGTTGTTTCCATGGTGAGGTGTGCTGGATTTATGGGAAGAGCTCTAGTTCACTCTCAGCCCCGGACAGCAGAACATCCCAGTAGTGCCCTGATGGTGTGCGCGTGGGGATGTGTGGAACAGGATAGTGACCCCATGTGCATTATATGCAGTGCGCCTTCCAGTCAGGTGTGCTCATGGCCATCGTGGAAGTGAGCTCAGCTGGGGCTGGAGGGCCCAGGCTCACTGTGTGCCACTCAGCAGCCTTGGGAGCAGGTTCATCCTCCTCCCCTCTCTCCTGTCCTCATCCCAGGCAGCCCACCAGAGCCGCTCTCTGGGCCGTCTCTCCTGATCTTAAGGGGGCTGTCATTTCTGGGAGTCTGACGCTGGCCCCTCCATCCCCGCCTCCTGGAGATCTGCGCCAAGGTCTGCCTTTCTGTCTGGAGGGACTGGCCGGGAACTCCTGGGTTTTCCTGGTGGGGTTTTTGTTGCTTAGCAGTGAGCAGAGTGAGCTGGCACCAAGAGGAGGATGCTGGGTGAGGTCACGGACATGGCTGGGGCAGGCTGGGGGTGCTGGAGGTGAATTCCTCAGCTGTGCAACCTTGGGCAGTTTGCCCAGTCCTGAGCCTCGCTTCCTCCTCTGTGAAATGGGGCAGGAGCACCTGCCTGCTGGGGTTGTGGGTTCAGTGAACTGGAGCTAAGGTACAGCTCACAGCCTGCTGTCAGACCCTCACAAGCAGAAGTGGGTGTCCCTGCTCAGCGTCCTCTGGCTGTTCCTTCAAGGCTCAGCTTGGTCCTCCTCACCTCCGTGAAACCTCCCTGGTTACTCCAGGCATCAGGACCCACTCCCTCTTTGGAGCCTTGTGCCACATGCGTTTCTCATGGTGTTGCTTTCCCTGGAGGATGGGTTCAGCTAAAATTGGGGCCCATCTCGGGGTTCCCCCCAGCACCAGAGAGGCTCAGACTTAGTAGAGACGGGTACCCAGTTGATACCAGTTCCATGAAGGACACACTGTGCCCATTCTGCTGCCAGCTGCTGAGTCTGGTGTCCTGTAGTTATGGAACATGGATACAAGCCTGGGCAGCTGGACACGAAGGCCAGGTGCGCAGGTCACTCTGCCTCAGCTCTGAACCTTTAGAAACAAGCTGGCTGCACCCATTTCCATCTGGTCACAGTTTAGGAGTGGGGTTGTGGAATGGATGGAAGGAAGGGTGGGTGGGTGGGTTGATGGGTGGGTGGGTGGATGGATGGATGGATGAATGGATGATGGGTAGATGGATGATGGGTGGATGGGTGGATTAGGTGGATGGGTGAATGGATAGGTGGACTGGTGGGTGGGTAGGTGGGTGAAGGGCTGGATGGCTGGGTTGGGTGGATGGGGTGGATGGGTGAATGGATGTGTGGAGGGGTGGGGGGGTGGATGGGGTCCATGGGTGAATGGATGGATGGATGGATGGATGGGTGGGTGAATGGATGGGTGGATGAATGGGTGGGTAGATGAATGGATGGGTGGGTGAATGGATGGGTGGGTGAACGGGTGGGTAGGTGAATGGATGGTTGGGTGAATGGCTGGGTGGGTGAATGGATGGGTGGATGAATGGATGGATGGGTGAATGGATGGGTAGGTAAATGGGTGGGTGGGTGAATGGATGGGTGGATGGATGGGTGGGTGGATGAATGGATGGGTGGATGCATGGGATGCATGGGTGGATGGGGTAGATGGGTGGGTGGGTGGGTGGATGGATGGGTAGATCAATGGATGGGTGGGTAGGTGGGTGGGTGGATGCATAGGTGGGTGGATGGATGGGTGGATGCTGTAAGAGCCTCTCTGGCGGGTTCCAGGGAGGAACTGGCATCTTTGACCAGCAGCCAGCATGGTGATCAGATGCAGGGAGGTCTCTGGGTCTGCCTGATCCCTTATCTCACTGTTGGTGGGTCTGGGCTGGTGGTGTGTCCCTGAAGCTCTCTGAAGGGTGGCTCTACGGCATTGCCCAGGGGACATCCCCAGAGCACCGTGCTCTGCAGCAATAGAGCGGCTGCCTGTGCTCCCAGGGCCGCTCCTCCTGGCAGCCTTTCGGGTTTGCTCGGCTTAGCACCTTGGCAAATCTCCTCGAGTTAGGACTCGCCTGCCATAAGCCTCTCCAACGAGCAGCCCCAGGCCAAGGCCTGTGTGTGGGCAGAGGGAGCGCGTGCCGCGGGAGGCAGCATTAATCTGAGGTTCCGTTTTTGTTCCCTCCTGGGGCAAAAGGAAAAAACAGGCTGTCCCACTCCATCCCCAAATCCAGCCCAGCTGCACCCAGCCCTGGGAGTGAAGGGAGCTGGATCAGGACTGCCCGTGAGTCGTAGACTCTGGTGTAGGGAAACCCCGGTTCATAAGATGGGTGGACATGGAGGAAGGAGGAGACTCCGTCCAGCAGAGACACACTTGGGCGCAGCCCAGTTTGGAGTCTGATGGACGTGGGCTCACCTGTGTGCAACTCTCATTCACTGTGTGGCCACGGACAAGTGACACTCTGGAGACCCAGCTTCCTTATCTGCAAAACAGAAGCAGCGTGGCTTAGGGGAGGATGTGTGTGAGGGTTTGGCCCAGAGCCCTGCCATCAGCCAGACAGCAGTGGCTGTCATCCCTCCAGGGTCCAGGGTTACCTGGGGGAGTAGGGCCTCTGCCCCCAGATGGGCCCTGTTTCTGGTTCTGGAACTCACAGCAGGAGCAGAGGTGAGGACACTCCCGGTGTTAACCATCCGCCCAGAGGGAGAGCGTCAGTGGCCTTGTGTGACCTTTGCCCTTTGTCTCTGTCTTTAGGAGGCACGCGGACCTCCAGTGGCCGGCTCCGGAGGCTTGGTGACCCCAGTGGCCCAGGTAGGTGGCTCGCTCCACCCAGGGCCCAGCTCACGGGCGTGTTTGTGTTGCGGCCCCTTCGTTCTTCTGGTCCAGGACCTGCCTCCCCACCTGGCCTCCCTGGATGAGTGGGGCCACTTGCCCGTTTCCCAGGGAGACGCTGTCTTTGACAACTTTGGACTCAGGTGGCTTCTGGGCCTGTCGACGCTGGCCTGGTGGAGATGATCCTTGTGGGGGCAGAGTCAGCAACTCCCAGGCTCAGGGAGCAGGCCCGTGTGTGCGGGACAGAGGAGAGAACAGGAGATAGACAGGCTGGATGGTTTGGTTTGAGGTGCTGAGGGCACAGGCGCGCCATGGACAGGTGGCTTTGGCTGTGGGACTCTCGGTGCTGGTTCAGTATCCATGGGCTCCCTGCAACCCTGCAGGGTGGAAGACGCTCCAGGATAGAGCAGATACAGCTGTGTTATCTAGGAGGAAATAAGTGGGCCTCTGGCAGTGGTCACTGTGCTATTCTTTCTGCTTTTTCCATGTGTTTGGAAATTTTCCACAGTCACCACTAGGGAGGGGAAACAGACGCACCCATCAGAGCTCTGGGGCTGGCCATCCAGGACAGGAGTTACAGCTCATAGGCTTGGAGGGACTCTACCAACCACCGGGTACGGCCTGGGCAGGGGAGTGGGACAGAGAGGTCAGGGCTCTGCCTCCAGCCCTTGCCCCCCAGGACTGAGTCTGTGCGTCATCTTCTCCCCACTGGGTGTCCTCGATCTCCCCTGCCTGACCCTGGTGTGGCCATAAGTGCCTCTGTTCCCAGGAGCCTACGTGGTTCTTGGCTGTCACTTGCAGTGGCCAGGCTGGGACAGGTGCCCATCTAGTGGCTTTTCTATTTGGAGAGGATGATGGGTCACAGCAATGAATGAACTTACCTCCCCTAGGAGATGAGGAGCTCCGAGAAGGGCAGAGATGGCGTGGTCATCTGTGCATATGTGCTGGGGGCCAACTGGGTGCCAGACCCCTGGCTGCCATCATGGTGGCAGACAGGCAGGGACTGTGCCTTCATGAATTAGCCATTCTAGAGGAGACAAAGTTACCGAGGGACACGGACCCGGAGTCAAATCCACACAAATAGAGCACCTGTGGGCCAGGGCTGCCTTCAGAACCAGGTGAGGCAGCCGTCCTGCCAGGACAAGGCACTCACGGGGGCAAGGCATGTGCCCATCTGCAGCCCCCACCTCCATGCTCTAGACCAGCCCCGTCTAATAGAACCTTCTGTGATGGTGAGTCTGTTTTGTACATCCCCACCCCGCCATCCTGTAGGGTAGTCGCTTGACCACCTGGGTCTACTGCACACTCCAAGTATAAATGTTTAAGTTTATTTTATTCACTCATTTACTTGCATAGAATTATTGATTTATTTTAAATGGATTTCCACTTATATCTGCATGTGGCTAGTGGCTATGAAACGGAACAGTTCCAGACCACATCGGCTACCTGAGACCCCAGAATTCTATACCCAAAGCCTGCTTCTGATCCTGAGTTGGCTTCTGTGGGGACAGCACAGACCCCTCCTAAGTCCGCCCTCCAGAGGTGGATGCAGCGCCTGTGGACTGTGCACCCCCAGGCCTGAAGCGGGAGAGGGTGGACTGTGCACCCCCAGGCCTGGCGAGGTGAGAGGGTGGCTTTTTACAGGACGTGGGAGTAGAGGGGATGGCGTGTACATGTGGGTGATGTGGGACCTTGTGTGGCTATGCGGGCTGCTGTGTCCACATGAGTGCATGTGAGGTCCCTTGCAGTACAGGATGGGACTGTATGTGGGGAGAGCGGGGTGACACTCTGGCTGGAGGCCCCTGGGCAGCTGCATGATTCAGCGCCGTGGTTAAGAGGGGCCCCGCCTATTGCAGTCATGTTGGGCACTAGCCACTGGACAGCCCCGCCACTGCTGTGTTTCTGGGGAGCTTTTCTCAGCTTCCGCATCTGATCTGCCTCTCCATCTCCCTCCCTCTCACTGGCCAGCTTCTGGTGGAATGGGTGGGGAGGGTCCCCCAGTGCTTGTGGGAGTTGCATCTTGGGAGCCTGGCACCCTGGGCTGCGTGGACACAGCCTCCCCCGCCGGTTGCTTCCCTCTGCTTACACCGGCTGGTTCTGTGCCGTCAGCACTTGGCAGCCGCGATCACAGCTCAGCTTGGAAGCCTAAGGCATAATTTGCTGAAGCCCAAAGCTGCAAGCTGGTGATCTGGGTTTGCGTGGGACTGCCTGCTGACACACGGGGTCCTCCCTCTGTGGGCCTCTGTGGGCTCTGGCCTGAGACACCCTTTCCTCATCTTCTTGGCTTCTGTCTTTCTCACTGCCTCCCTGCTGCTGAGACCCTGGTCCACGCAGGAGTTCATTTCTAGACATCCCAGCATCTCAGGCCTCCCCATTTGACACTCCCCAGATGACTGTCTGCCATCCCATCCTCCCAGCCCAACTTCTCTGTAGATCCACATCTGGCCAGTCTCCTATGTCTGGGACTCTTGCCCTCCCCAGAAGGACAAAGGCTCTTCTCGAGGCTGTGTTTGGGACTGGGCCAGGGATGACATTTCTGGCAAGAGCTTAAATGACACCATGATCAACCCTTTGGTCAGCTCACACACTTTGTCTCCTTTTTTTTTTTTAAAAAAAATGGAATTGTTAGAGCTACAAAAAAAAAAAAAAAGTAAAGAATAAGATAACAAAACACCTGTGTACTCACCGTCCCGCTTAAGAAGTGAGACATTGCAGGTGTAGCCCAGTCCTGGGTGACCCTCTCCATCCCAGCCCTGCTCCCGCTGCAGTGCTCACCCCTGGATTGGGCAGGCATGTCTGTGCTGGGCAGTGGTGTGTCTGAGGAGCCTAGGTCTCCTCTTTTTTTTTTTTTTCTGAGATAGAGTCTCATTCTGTCGCCCAGACTGGAGTGCAGTGGCGCCATCTCAGCTCACCGCAACTTCTGCCTCCTGGGTTCAAGCAATTCTTCTGCCTCAACCTCCCCAGTAGCTGGGATTACAGGCACCCGCCACCATGCCTGGCTAATTTTTTTGCATTTTTAGTAGACACAGGGTTTCATCGTGTTGGTCAGGCTGGTTTCAAACTCCTGACCTCAGGTGATCCACCTGCCTCGGCCTCCCAAAGGACTGGGATTATAGGGGTGAGCCTGGTCTCCTCTTGAATATGGTTGTCAGCATCGTGTGTCTGAACAGCCTAGGTCTCTCTCCTCTTGAATGCCGTCATCAGCATCGTGTCCTCAGTGCCTGACTGGAGTAGTGGCTGCCCTGCTTGTGCCCACAACGTGATGGCGTGGAGATTTATCCGTGTAGATCCACTTAGCCTTGGTTCATTTATTTTGGCAGCTAGCGAGTGTTCCTCCGTGTGGGGAGGCAGAGTTTGCCAGTCCCGTGGCCCACTGGTGACGTCACCGAAGGTCTTCTCTGTTATTAGTGCTGCTGGGAACGTGTGTTTCCCCAGGTGGATTGGTTGGGCTGTGGGGACGCGCTCCTCAGCCCTTCTAGATGTTACCACTGCGCCCTTCCGAGTGGCCTTCTGGTAGGCTCTCCCATATTCGCCCATTTTCTGTGCCTCAGTCAGCCTCTCTGGGCAGCCGCCTCCCTGACTGAGCGTCCAGCTGACTTTTGCCCCGGTTCCCACGGTGCAGGGAGCATTTCATCTCAGTGGTGCCCGAGCTTCCTTCCCTCTGGCCCTCAGTCCCCAGCTGGGATCCCTGGAGCCAACTCCTCTGCCTGACATCCCATGTCTCTGGGTCCTGCTATTCCATCTTCCAATGCCTCTGGGGGATGTGGCCTCGTCCCCAGTGCCTCCATCATCCCTTCTGTCCTGGGTTGAACCGTGTCCCCCACAAACTCATGTCCACCAAAAACCTCAGAATGTGACCTGGGAGTTGGAAATGGGGTCTTTGCAGATGTAAGTAGTTAAGGATCTTGAGATGAGGTCATTCTGGATCAGGATGGACCCCAAATCCAACGACTGATGTCCTTAAAAGAAGCAGAGGGGCCACAGATGCACTGGTAAGAGCCACGTGAAGGCAGCAGTGGATGGTGCAGTGATGCAGCCCCAGGCCAGAAAGCGCCTGGGAAGAGGCAAGGAAGGACCCCTCACCCCGCCTCAGAGCCTTCCTAGAAGTGTGGCCTTGCTGACACCTTGATTTTGGACCTCTGGCCTCCAGCCCTGGGAGAGAACCCGCTTCCAGTTTTTCATGCCCCACAGCTGTGGTCCATTATGGCAGCCACCGGACACTGATGCGCTTCCCTACCTGGCCGCTGTGGATGGGCCACCCCCGCCCACAGGAAGTCTCCCTCAAGCACTGTAGGTGTCTCTGCCCTCACAGTGGACGCCTGCACAAGGAGGTGTGAAAAGGGCCCTGCAGGAGCGGGGCCTGGGCTGGTGCTCGCTCCCTCCCTTCATCCTACGCCAGTTCCCACGCCTCTTCCGGAAGGAGTGCCCGGCCCCACCCGGTGAATCAGAGCCCAACTCTCCTGACAATTGGCTGTCACTTATTTAACTGCCACCATCCCCAGGAGACAGAAAATGCCAGAGGGGTGGAGCCTGGGCAGTGCCTCCTCGCTACTTCCCCAGGGTACCGTGCCACATTGCCTTGGTGCACAGAGTAGCTGCTCAAAGTGTGTCAGACAAACAGGTCCCCCATGCCCAGCTGTGCAGACGAAAGTGTGCCATGTGGAGGGAGCTGGCTGTGGAAGAGACCACCAGCATCTTGGCTGCCCGAGGACCTTGCCCCTGGGCTCCTGTGGCACTCCTAGCTCGTTACTTCCTTTCTTACCCATAGCTACCTGCTCTTCCTCTATTTCTCTGATGTCAGACTTGCCACCCACCCAGGTTCACAAGCAGGAAATCTCAGAGTTGATCTTGACCTCTGCCTCCCCAGCACCCCCAGGTCAACAGGTTGCCAAGATCTCATCAACTC